CTCTCGACGTGTACAGCGAGCGAGCGCAAACAGTATTAGACATTAGTGAGTTATCAAATTCAGTGATTCACATGATGAATTTAATAGTGTCAGCACTAGTATCATCCATCGTATTATCTCCATCCGTCCCTTTTTCAATAAAAAGCTTATAAAAAAGTATGAGGACCAGTCTCTTACAATAGCAGTCCTAAATATATGAGTGACAATATCGAAATTTGTTGAAGAGGTGTTTCTGGAGGAGGCGCAGTCATATATCTCTAGAGTTATTGACAGTTACTGACAATGCGGCAAACTCATCAGAATTTCTCTGAAGTAGTAGGTGGCTCATTTTCGGTGCATTATCGTAGTGCGAAGGGTTCCATTTTCACCTTCATCTTTTATGTCTTTTGAAAACTTGAAGATTTTTCTAGCGAGCTTTCTGAGATGTTGCACTTTTTGCAGACCCCCGCTACTATTATCAATTATCAGCTTTCAATCATTTGTTGCTGAACGTACAGCAGATTTGTATCATCGCTTGTTTCAGCGGATAGCAGCAGAAAGCGTGGATGGTGATCATATGTGTCCTATTTGTTATGGCAACGCTCAATTTCCGATACTTACTAACTGCGGCCATGTGTTCTGCTGTAAGCATTTTTGGTTTGGGTCATGTAATAATTCTTAAACAATACCAGCATTTTCGAGTAGTTGAGAGTTATGATTTTCTGATTGCATCGCGTTTCAGGTGAGTGTATAATGGGCTATTGGAGGCATTCTGCTTCGCTAATTTCTCCTGTAAAATGTGCTATATGTCGAACAGAGGTTGGTACGCTTGCCGACAAGTATTTTGTCATTTTACTAGTTCTTTCAAAGTTTGTGCACGCTTTAAAGAGTAATTCTAGGTCACTGTGCTGCTACCATTGCATTGGCCTCATGATGAAGATAATAATCAACTCAGAGAGAACAACATTGGCCTCAATGACTACAATAGAAGATTCTCTGGAGATCGACCTGTGAGCTTTCCGCTTAATTTTATTCGTAATAGCCAAAGTAAGCTTTATTTTCTAGTGGGTAGAATACTTGTACGACCTTCCTGTTTTGATTCCGTATATAATACGCAACTTATTTGACTTCAACGGTTTGATGCTCATGTTCAGGTATGCATAAACCTAACTTCTTTCCCATAATACGGACTATCATGACAAGTACTGTAATGATTCAGGTTGCGTATCTTCTTCATCGCCATTGGCATACTCGCCTATATACTCTCTCCTTTCGACATAATTCCAGAATCCGCGTATGGATTCATGGGTCAGTCGAATAACCTTGTTAAGATTGAAGTTCACAAATGATTTATTCAAACTTTCAGGTCTAATGGATGACATATTTGTTACTGTTTTACTACTTGTTTACATAGCCATAGCAGTACGCCATTTCATGGCGCGAAGAGGGGAGGCACCACCAGAGTGAATTATTGTATCAAACACTTTCCACGTTCCCGGTGCATCCTGGTCATACAGTGCTTTAACATTGATCGGTGATGTTCACGTGTAGTCGCATTAACAGCAGCAATAGCTATTAGCTACGCAAATAGAATTATTGTTTATAAATTACGAGTAACAGAAGTGTCGTTGCGTTAACTAGTAAATGTGATACTTTCCTTTTTCTCACCAATTCGTACATATTTTCAGATACAAGCATTTGTATAGAGTTATGAAATAAATAAATTGAATACTAGCATTGCAACAGTGCTGTAAGCAGTATCACCAAATTAGTCTTAGTGTATTAATCATTGGTATTGAAGAATTAGACACAGGAGAGTAGTTCGAGTTTAGGAGTAATCAGTTGTTTAAAAAATGGAGATTTTATCGTCTGGCATTAAGCTAGCGAAATGAGGGTCGATCTGCCAGCTGCTCTCTACCCTTCGAATCAAGGTAAATTCAAAAGGATATAATTTTGTAATACTGGAACAGCTAAATGTGCTTGCTCGCTAGCACCACTTTTGTTCTAAGCGGTAAAGGCTGAAAGAGCTAACAGTAAGCACATGAATGACCCCTTTAACCCTGAACAAACATTTTGTAGCTTGAGAGACTGAAGGAGCGTGATGTGCAGATGAAAGCGCAACCTTGCATTAGATGCATGTGAGCAATGCACTTAATTATCAATTCAATTTTATTTTATATCTCAACTATTAGAATACGAGCAAGATCTTTAGTCATGATTGTTTTTATGCACTTGTAGTTTTGTGCAATTTTAGGTGTTAAGTCCATAAGACCGTTATCGGATGGGTTTAAGCCATTTGCACGCCTCATAGCTAACTTTCCAATGTAGAAATTCGGTTCACCTTGAGATTTGGAGTAGTTTCAATCCATATATTCAGGCAGATCTCTGCTTGTTAATCAGCGCCAAAGCAGTAATGTGCAAAAAGTCCTTGTACTTTAATTTTTAGTGCATCCCACCTTCAGTAAGGGCGACATAAATACACAAATATTGGATTAAGAACTGTTTCTTGGTTCTGTTCTGATTTGAATGACCTTAGAGGATGTTCTAGTGGCGAGATTTCTTTGGAACTAGAGATATGGTAATAGGACATGAAAAAACAATCCTGTAAAACCGCAATGCATTGCCTATCTTGTGTGCTGTCTGCATCTGCACGATTCTTTTTTCTTGCCGGCATTCATCATA